GAGGTCGCGTCCTCAGCATGGACATTGAAGTCACCCAGGACTAACAGTCTAGGGTGCTCCAATGCCCAGCCTGATACGGCCTCCAGCAGGGATGGCAGGCTATCGGCCGGGGCGTTAGGTGGTCGGTACACCAGCCAAATCGCCAAACTCTCCTCGGCCTCCAGCAGCAAGCCGACACATTCAATGCCCGCAATCTCTACCTGCGGGAGCGCCCTGAAGGAGTAAGCCTCCCGAATGAAAAATGCCACTCCTCCCCCCCCGCCCCCTAGTCCGTGATTGATGGAGGACCGAGAACCCCGGCGGGGCAAGTTGGGCGAGCGCAACCGTCTCGCCCTCCCGCACCCAGGTCTCGGTCATGCACACCAGGTCTGCTTGCTGTTCCAGTATGAAGTCCCGAAGGACTTCAGCCTTGTTGTTAATTGACCTGGCGTTGCACAGCATCAATGACGGAGGGGGGTTTCCAATCCTGGCCCCACTGCCAGCCACCCTCGGGATGGGTCGTAGGCTGGAAGGACCTTTGCTGGACAGCAGGGCTTGGTGATGGAGAGGTAGACCTGGCGTTGCACAGCATCAATGACGGAGGGGGGTTTCCAATCCTGGCCCCACTGCCAGCCACCCTCGGGATGGGTCGTAGGCTGGAAGGACCTTTGCTGGACAGCAGGGCTTGGTGATGGAGAGGTATGCCATTTACTAATTGGAATGAGTTGCTAGGGATGCCAGCCTCCAGGTGGGACCTGGAGATCCCCTGGAATTACAGCTCATCTCCAGACTACAGAGATCAGTTCCCCAGGAGAAAATGGATGCTTTCGAGGGTGGGCTCTGTGGCCATTGTACCCCACTGAGGTCCCTGTCCTCCCCAGGCTCCATCCCCAAATCTCCAGGAGTTTCTCAATCTGGAGCTGGCAACCCTATCCCCCTCATCCCCTGCCAGTGGCCAGGGGGGACCTGTCAACCCTAGACTTTTGCCTGGGATATGGGATCTCCCTTCCCCTGCTCAAATCCCCTCTGCTGGATCACTGTAGGGAAGAGGGGGGGTAACCGTGTAATCGGGGTTCATTCTTCTTTTCTTTCCACTGGGTAGAAGTAGATGGGGAAGAGACTATATGGTGTTGGATCCACCTGAGGCCTATCCCTCTCTTTCAGGAACTGGAGGAGCGGTTGATATTGACCCACAACGAGTCCGAGGAGCTGTGATCCCAAGGATTCCTGTTGGCTCCACAACTCCTTGGCAGGGCCCCTCTGTGGCGGGGAAGGGCCCAGGCACCAGTCACCAAGGTGAGCGAGAACAACACAGTGAAGGCATTTTTCTCATTCCCTTCCACCTACCTTTGCTGGACAGCAGGGCTTGGTGATGGAGAGGCTAGACTCAGTGGCTGGATGGTCCTGCTTTTGAACCAGACTTCCATCTCTGTCACCTCACAATCATAACTCCTGGGGTGTGGTCTCCAGCTATACCAGAATGAAGTTTCTTATATGATTACCTCAGATAAATTGGTGGTAGTAGTAGTAGTAATTAGGCATTTTCACTGTTCAAAGCACTTTGACCTTGTTGCAGTCTTACCACAGGCAGTGTTCCCTCTAAGCTGAGTTCGTGTGAGCTAGCTCACAGTTTTTTAGCCTCCAGCTCACACATTTTTGTCTTAGCTCAGGGAGGATGGCTCCAGAGCAAACTAATTTATGCAGTAGCCAAATTGCTCGCTCATAGCTTTAATATTAGAGGGAGCATTGCCATTACCACAGCCATGGAGTCTTACCACAGCACATAGTGCAGTTTAGGGCAGGGGTGAGGTTGAGACAATATGGCTTGCCAAAGGCCACCTATTGTGAAGACGTTTGAACTGGAGACCTCCCAGACACTTCCTTGACCAGAGCCAGGGCATTCTCCACCCTGGCTCCAACCTGGTGTAACTCTGTGCCAAATAACATCCATGCCCTGCAGGACTTAATGCAGTTCCGCGGGGCCTGTAAGGCAGTTCCGCCAGACATTTGGTTGAGGACAGCGACAGTTTCCATCTATCTGGCACACCTCGCCTCCCCACCCCACCCCGCCCCGTGAGGCAGTAACGCAATTGGAAGTTTTGCGTCATCGAGTTAGGCCAATCACTGTGTTTATATTGTTTTAATTGTGGATTAATATGTGAAGGTGAATTACTGTTGTACACCACCCTGAGCCCTGTTCCACACGGAAGGACAGTTTAGACATGTAATGTAATAAATAAAATTCCATCTCTTTATCCTGCTTCTACACCAGCTCCCACCTGAGGAAAGGCAGGATGACTCAGGTCCCCTCATATCCACTTGAGGCAAGCAGGGCGTGCGGAAAAGGTCATTGGAAGCTCTACTGAGAGAGGAAAGCTAGTAGTATTTCCCCCTCTGCTTTGAATTTTGTCTCAGATGCCATGTGGGGAACCCAGAGCTGCCCTAAAGGGATTGTTTCATAGGCAGTGGAAGGGGGTGGTGGTGGCTGGTTATATTGAGCCCGGTGCCCTTTTCAATCAGGATAATCTCTTCACACGATTAGCAGCACTAGCTGTCCAGGCCTGGCTGTCTCTTTCCTTGTGGGCGGTTGCTCAACCTGTTTCTTCCTGGTTGACTCTGCTGGGTTTGTTTCCATGAAGACAAACAGTGTACCTATCTAAAAGTCCAGGAGGATTATTCGACAGTGTGGGCTACTGGGTTGCTTTTGGTGATCTTCTCCCCGCCCGCCAGACACATAAGATGCACTGTGGAAGAAGATATTAAAGTCAATGCTGTTGTGCAAGCGAGGCCTTCAAAGGGAGCACCCTAAAGTTGCCATCTTCTTTTTTTCTTTCCAAGCATGGATTCTTAGCTTTTGACAGGCAGAAATCCAGCAGGTGAGGCTTCCCTCCTCCACTCACTCCAACCACATCGCTGGAAAAGTCACACATCTTGAAGATACAAGAGGCCTGTGGGGGGGGGGATGGCAACAATTCAGGGCTCTTTTTGTAGCAGGTACTCATTTGCATATTAGGCGACACACCCCTAATGTAGCCAATCCTCCAAGAGCTTACAGTAGCCCCTGTAAGAAGAGCTCTGTAAGCTCTTGGAGGATTGGCTACATTAGGGGGTGTGGCCTAATATGCAAAGGAGTTCCTGCTACAAAAAGAGCTCTGTATGGGATCAAAACCAAAGAGAAGCCCAGTGGTACCTTAAGACCCAGACCCACAAATCTCCTGCCCCTCCTGGGGGGTGCGGTCACACACACCAGATAAAACGGGGGCAGGGGGGGGAGCAAGGCTATTTCTTCCGGAGGAATTTGACCCACAGTTACACGATCACACCTCCCTTTGAAGCTGCGGGCACAGCCCGTCAGTGTGTGATCAGACATAACTGCAGGTGAGTCTTTTGTGTGTGTGTTTCCCATGTGCTTAAATGAGGAATCGATGGACCGCACCTCCGCACTGAGGGCTCCCTATGGAGTTTGCGATGATGCGCATACTGCGAGGGGGGGGAAACAATGGCACAGAGTCGGAATGGCCTGATCAGACCATCCTGATGGCATGAGAGCACGCTGGAGCAATCAGAAATGGGAAAGTCCATCCGTGGCTCTTTGCAACCCGTTTACTACTGGATTTCCCCCCGGTGTCATAAGAACACTGTTGGATCAGGCCAATGGTCCATCCAGTCCAACACTCTGTATCACACAGTGGCCAAAAATACCAGGTGTCATCAGGAGGTCCACCAGTGGGGCCAGGAGACTAGAAGCCCTCCCTTTTAACTCTGCTTCTGCAGCGGAGCAGAACGGGTTGCCGATGGCTGCGGGGCACTTCCCAGATGCTGTCTGATCGCGCCCTTTAAATCTGCCTGGCATTCGCACCTATGTCGGGTCTAATTGTGCATATGATCGCAGCCTGGGTGTCCTTTTATGCACAACCAACCCATGTCCCTCTATCGTCCCTCTGTCTGTCTGTGCCACCTTTAATCCGTCTACAGCCTGTACTCTCCCAACCTGAAGATGAGCTCCTTTCCCCACCTGAGCTGCTTCATCCTGCTCCAGCTGGGCTCTGGGTTCTTTTTGTTTTAATCTCTTGCTGTCCTGTTTCCTCTTATTCTTTTTTTTGTGTGTGCGTGTGTCTCTAGAGAGCCTGGGGAGGGTAGTTTCTTTGCCAAGGAAACAAGCCTTGACACAGCTGAGGTACGCCGTTGTTTGCTTCCTAGTGGTTGCTGGCCTGTTGTGTCTCCACTGAAAAGGTGGCAGAGCGGAGGCAAAGCGAGCCCTGGCGCTCTCTGTCTCCCCCCCCCCCAAGTTTTTGTTGTTGTTCAGTCGCACAGTCGAGTCCGACTCTTCGCGACCCCATGGACCAGATCACGCCAGGCCTTCCGGTCTTCCGCCGTCCTTTGAAGTTTGCTCAACGTCATGTTCGTTGCATCGATGACACTGTCCAACCATCTCATCCTTTGCCGTCCCTGTCTTCTTTGACCTTCAATCTTTCCCAGCATCAGGGTCTTCTCCAGTGAGTGCTCCCTTCTCATTTGGTGGCCAAAGTAGTTGAGCTTCAGTTTCACTACCTGGCCTTCCAGGGAACAGTCAGGGTTGATTTCTTTTAGGATTGACTGATTTGATCTTCTTGCAGTCCAAGGGACTCTCAAGAGTCTTCAGCACCATAGTTCAAAAGCATCTATTCTTCGGCGCTCGGCCTTCCTTATAGTCCAGCTCTCGCAGCCATACATGACTACTGGGAATACCATTGCTTTGACCATGCGGACCCCCCCAAAGTAGCAATTAAATCTGAGTTTGACTGTTCTTTCAGTTGTGCCTGCTCATCCACTTAGATGGCTAGATGGGCTGCTTGGATTCCCTGCTACCCGAGCTGGGGAACGTGGAAACCCTTATCTCCTCCCCCTGGGCCTTTTTCTCAGTCCCTTGCTTATTATTCCCTTCAGGCTGTGTTTGCTGGAGTTTCTTCAAGATCCTGAATTTCAGAATTACCACCACCAAGTCCCACCTAACCCCAGCAGAGCAGGAACTTCCTTGTTGTCTGTAACGTTGCTTGTTGTTTCCAAAAGTTTGTCCCAGACTGTCTGTTTGGCCTGACCTGAAGGTTATTTCACTGTCCGCTGTCACGGCTGGAAAAAGCAGGTTCCCTCCTGCTGCTTCCCTAAAGCCCTGGCCTATATCCCACCAGCTTATCTCTGCAGTGGTCTTGCCTTCTCAGCCTTTCACCTGTCACTTCCCTGCTTTGCCTCACTCAGCCTTTCATTATCATCATTATCTTTCTTAAATATTTTCCGGCTTGTCCTTTGTTTTATGGTTCCTGCCTTGTTTAGGGTTTTCAGCCGCGGCTCAGTGGTAGCGCGTCAGCTCGGCATGCAGAAGGTCCCAGGTTCAATCCCTGGCATCTCCATTGAAAAGGACCAGGCACTAGGTGATGTGAAAGGCCTCTGCCTGAGACCCTGGAGACTCTGAGTAGACAGTACTGACTTTGATGGACCAGTGGTCTGATTCAGTAGAAGGCGGCTACGTGTGTGTGTGTGTGTGTGTGTGTGTGCGTTACCCTGCTAAACATTGCCAGGTGGTGGGGCAGCGAAAGGAGAGGAGGTTAATCAGTCGCTTGGGGGTCAGGCACCTGCTGTTTGGCAGATGGCAGCGGAAGCCTTAATTTGGCTGCTGTCGCCTAAAGTTGAGAAGGGGGAGAAATAGTCATGTGGTGCCTCCACACCCTGCCCCTTTCCCTCTCCCTTCCCACAAGATGACTCAGAGGTAGAAAATTGCTCGTCACATAGAAGGTCCCAAGTTCAATCCCTGGCATTTATAATTATAGCAAAACCAGAAGAGGATCTCTTTGCCTGAGACCTTTCAGAACTGTCAGCGATCACTGAGTGGAGACTAGCGATTTCCAAACTGTTCACCATGAGTGAACTCTCAGCATGCTGCAAAGTAATACATTAATAATGAAATGCACCCGTGAACTCAACATGCTCTCCTGCAGATGAGGTTGCCTGCAGCATCTCTGCATGATCAGGTGCTCTGATTTTGCTTCCTTCTCATCTCCCACTGTTTCCATGCACGGGGGGTGGGGGAGTGATAGAATTACCCTCTCCCAAACAGACACAGCAGAAACACCCAGTGTCTATGGAGGCAGCCTGTTATATCCCTGTATGAGTTGAGTTTCCCTCCTTCTAGCTCAAAAGGCACACCCAGAAGAAGGGACTCATGCTGAGACGTTGGGAGTGAATGGGCTGCATTGTGGTTGGGGTACTCCATACTCACACTCTGTAATAGTAAACTTTTTCCAATATAAGAGTGAAGTATGTGTCAGATTTTAATTCAGGAAACAGTGGGTTTCAGGTTTTGTAGGTTCTGAAAAGACTGGTGTAAAATATTTGGGGTTTGATAGATCTGAACACTGCTCTGATTCAATATAAGGTGCCTATCCCTCAGGTTTCCATACTGCCCATAGGCTTTTAAGCATATTGGGAAGGGGCGATGCTTAACAATATCTTCACAACTGTAAATGCTGTAACTTTGCTGTTTCTTTGTGCATGTGATAAAAAAAGTAGATTCTGGATAAAGCCAGAATGGTATGGAATATGTCTAAGAGTAATAATACATACAGGAAAGGAAATTTAGATCCTGCACCCAATGTCGCATTCTGTACGTTTTCTGTGCTTGGGTATAATGCACCTGACCCCGGTCCTGCCTTCTCCTGGGCAGCAGTGATCTCTTTCATCTTTTCTTGCTGTCCTTGAACATCCGTTTGCTTCTTTCTTACTGACAGATCCGGCCGGGACCCGTCCTCCTGGGCAGAGCTTTGCTGCGCTAGCCACCCCTTCGCCCCGCCTTCCGGCGACTCCTCGGCGCGGCCTGATCCGGGTCACCACGCAAAGAGCCCTGCAGCACCCACAGCTGGCCAGGCCGGAGCCCAGCCTGCCAGCTCTGCAGCCTGCCTCCAACCCGCCCTGCCCACGCCCCGGCAGCGCCTGCAGCCAGTTTCTGCCCAACCAGACCTTGCTGCGGTGGAAGGACCTCGAGCGGACACTGAGCTTTGCCTGGGCCCTGCACGTCTACGGCTCGGGGGTGCTCTTCCTCCTGCTCAGCCTGTTGAGCTTGGCCTGCCTGGTGGGCTCCCTGGCCATGCACGTGCCACATCTCCTGTGTGTCGTGGGTGCCGGGGCCCTGCTACTGGTGTTCGGGGTGCTGCGTGCCACGTTTTTCCTGGTGGACCCATACGGCTCGCGAGGCTGGCTCCCCTCTCGTGCCGTGCGGGCGCTGTACACGTCCCCCTTCCCCCTGCTGCTGAGTGCGTTCGCGGTGCTTCTGCTCCGCCTCCTCCGCCAGGCCCACCTGCAGGTCCTGCCCCCAAAGCTGCAGAGCCTGCTCTTCTTGGCTGCCCTGGGGTCCGCGCAGAGCATCCTCCTCCTGGCGGCTGACCTGCTCACACCTCCCGTGCACCCAGCCGTGGCGGTGGGGCTGCACACGCTCTCCTGCGCTGCCGGTTTCTGCCTCTTGCCCGTCACCATGTTTGTGTACTGGCGGCTACGGCACAGCACAGCGGCCGAGGGCACCCCCGAGCCAGGAGTATGGAGCGGCGCGTGGGTGCTTCTGGGGAGCAGCGGGTTGGCGCTCCCGTGTTGTGGGCTGCAGCTGTACGGGGTGCTGTGGCTCTCGGGGCTGCTGGGCCGGCCCGACGTTTTCACCTGGGGCTGGTGGTTTGTGCAGTTCTGGTTCCGGATCGGCGAGCTGGTCCTCTCTTTCACCCTGGTCTTCTTAGCCTGGCAGGCCCTGTGCCAGCGGTACGGCAGCTCCGAGCACTCCTGCTGGACCAAGCTCACCCGCTACTTCTGTACCTACCGCAAGGCCGAGGCACCCGAGTATCCCAACAACTGTTACGACTGGACCGGAGGGGTCCTGGAGAAAGTGCCCAACAACGATATCAGTAAGAGCTTGATCTGGAACCCGCCTGCCAGTGGGCGCCTCTGGGCCCTGAAGGACAGCAACGAATTGCGGGCAGTGGCCGTCCAGGGTTCCAGCCCCTCCCCGGTCCACCCCGTCTACAGCCCCAAGTGCCACAATGCCGCAGCCGCCACCATGGGCCGCTCCTACACCAGCATCTGCTTTGAAAGGGATTCGGTGCTCTCCCTGGCCGAGCTGGAGTTCCGGCCCCCCTCGCCCATCAACCTGAGCCGCAGCATCGACGAAGCCCTCTTCCGGGAGCATCTGGTGCGCGACTCCATCTTCCTGCGCTCCAGCCTCCACTTCCCTTCCCGCTTGGCCCGCCAAGATTCGTGCTCCTCGCTGCGCGGCGAGTGCTCTACCCTCTCCCACGCGGCGCAGCCTCTGCTGGCACGGCCTCGCCGGAGCAGCGACCCGGACTGTCTGTACAGCCTGGCGCGGGCCAGCTCGATGGGCGAGCTCACCACGCAGAGCCGGGGCCTGGCCAGCGAGCCCCCAACGGACACCTCGTTCGACAGCTTCTCCCGCACCTCCTTCTCCCGGGCCTCCCTCAAGATCAGCTGGAACCCCTGGCGCCATGGCCTGTCCTCACCAGAGAGCCTGCCCCCGGAGGAGCTGCCCAGCCAGGCCCAACTCCTGCCAGAGGACCCCCCTCCGGCTCCGTCCAGCAGCGCGCCCAACTCTGAAGGCGAGGCCAGGAGGAGTTTCTTGGCTCTCAGCAAGCAGGTGGATTCCCGCAGTCTCTCCAGTGACACCATTGAACTGTGAGACCGGGCAGTGGGGCTCACCTTCCCCTTGTGCCTCGGAGGCACCAGCGTGACTGTGCGGGGCAGGAAGACCTCCCCGAGCGGGTTTGTTTCAACGGCTGGGGCCCGGAAGACTCCACTTTCCTTTTGACAAGCCATGGGGCTGCCCCAACCGAGCCTAATTCCAGCCGTTCACATGATGGCTCCAGATGTGGTGCTGGGTCCTTCCTGTAGTATCAGCCACACCCCGGGTCCAGTCACCCAACCTTGTGTCAGCCACATATGTAGGACCAGTGAGCTACTGTGACCAAGCTGTTTAGTGCCTGCAAGTCCAAGCATCTCTCCCCGAATTTCCATAGACACCTTTGTGTCCTGTGTCTGGCGTACCGGAAAGAGAGATGGACAGAAATCTGGAAACCCTCCAGTTGCCGCGTGGATTCTGGGGAAGGGAGAAGGGTAGCCAGTCCCGAGTCTGGAAGAGGCCTGTCTGCAGCTCCACCTCCAGTGCCCGTCGGCCCATCCTGCAGTCGCTGTTTGTGCTCGTAGAGACACCCCCCCCCCCCAAACAGATCCCTTTAGAGAGGAGGCTGAGAAAGGAAAAACAGTTGCTAGGAACCGCCAACGTGTAATGGCTGGCAAACAGGGCGGCAGTGGTGGCAGGGGAGGTGGGACGCTTGGTTGCTCAGAGAGGCAGAGCCCGCACTTTGCATGCCAGGAGTCCCAGTTTCCGTTCTGGGTATTTCCAGACGAGGGGATCTCAGGTTAGCAGGGCTGGGGGAGGGGAGGAGTTCTGCCTGAGACCTCAGGAAGCCTGTGCGAGATGGGCTGAAGGGACCTGACTCTTTGTAAGGCAGCTTTCACGTGACTCTACGACAGTGGTTTGTACTGTGAATCACAGAACTGAGCTTTGCACTTCAGACTCCTTAGTCCAGCATGTAGTGGTTTATTCAGGTGCTGGAAAAGGTCGTGTTTCATTAACTGTTTTTAAGTTTCTAGGTCTCATGGATGCAGAGGAGAAACAGAGGAGGCACGTACCTACCTTACCCCTTTCACCAGTACCTGCAGTATGCTTAAAGGTGCCCGGGGAGGGGGGGGGGCTTCTTAGCTCTTCGAGGCTCCCTTTTCTTTCTTTAGGCTGATCCTGCATTGAGCAGGGGGGTTGGACTAGATGGTCTGTACGGCCCCTTCTAATTCTATTATTCAGTTCTATCTACCTCTGTCTGCCCCTGTTCTATACATATGCCTTCTAGCACCTCACTCAGTGGGTCTTAGGTCACCTCCTCCTTTTGTCCCTCGATTTTAAGATCTGCAAATAAAGCCCACTCCATCAGTAAATAACAGCCATACAAATCATTTGTGTTATGTTCCAGTGGCTGAATAAAGGGTCTTGGTTCCAGATTTTTTTCCAAAAAAAATCAGAAGTTTTGCCAGCGATTACTTGAAGCCAGCCTGGCCAGATGTTGTGTGTGTGTGTGTGTATGGAACTCGTGTTGGGTGGAGTGTACATCAAAGGGAGACTGTGGCTTTTGTTAGACTGGGGCTCCTGGTAAAAGCACAAGTTTTACTTGCCTGGGCTCCATCTGTCCCCTGCAGTGGTGGGGGAGGGAAAGGGTAGAGCTGCCCAGAACTGTGGAATGTCACGTGGTCCATTGTGCCAAAATGAAATAAAACCTTCTGTCAAAAGGATATCATCCTGGCTTCCGGTCTGGTTCTTAGCTGTTGCTATGAGAAGCTGAGAGGCTCCCACAGCACCCAGCCTTGGGGGTAGAAAGTGGATAGGGCTGCCAGGTCCCCACCGGCCACTGGTGGGGGATGGGGGGGTAGGGTGGCCATATCCAGGTTGGGAAACTCCTGGAGATTTGGGGGTGGAGCCTGGGGGGGACAGGGACCTCATTGGGGTACAATGGCCACGGAGTCCACCCTCCAAAGAACCCATTTTCTCCGGGGGAACTGATCTCTGTAATCTAGAGATGGGCTATAATTCCGGGGGATCCCCAGCAGTGTTCCCTCTAAGCTGAGTCAGTGTGAGCCAGCTCACAGGTTTTTAGCCTCTGGCTCACACATTTTTGTCTTAGCTCAGGAAGGAGGGCTCCAGAGCAAACTAATTTATGCAGCAGCCAGATCTCCTGCTCACAACGTTAATGCCAGTAGCTCACAGAGTAGAATTTTTGCTCACAGAGCTTAGAGGGAACATTGATTCCCCAGGTACCATCTGGAGGCTGGCATCCCTAACAGTGGAGGTGTGTTCCATGGAACTTGTGGGAAATGGGAAAGGCAGTTTCCCACAACAGAATTTTAATGTTTTCCCACACCGTGAGGATTCTCATACTGACAGCAGGGTATCTACGCTGGAGTTTTCTGTGCACTTTCTCTTGTCAGCCACCATTTTCTCTGCATTCTTTCTACACTGTGCCACCAGGGGGCTTAGCGATGGCTTTAAGAAACGAGCAATTTGTATATTCTTATGGGGGGTGAAGGTGACATGGTATAGCTCAATCTCGTCACATCTCAGAAGCCACAGTTGGTTCTTGGGTGGGAGACCACCAAGGAAGACTCTGCAGAGAAAGGCAATGGCAAACCACCTCTGCTTCTCACTTGCCTTGGAAGCCCTTTGCTGGGGTTGCCATACTTGACAGCACTTACATATATCGTTAAAGAGCTATAACAGTTAACTGTTTTTTAAGACACCTGCCAAAACCCTTGGGACTGCATTCTTGCCGAAAACATCACAGTAACCAGGTCTGATGTGGAAAGCCTAGGGAATGGGACCATTAGAGGATAATGTTGTGTGGCCGTTCTCCAAAATAGCACTCCAGTCTGGAAACAACATGAGATGGATCCACTCAACATGAGATGGTTTCACTCGATCAACGAAGCCACGGTCCTCAGTTTGCAAGACCTGAGCAAGGCTGTTCACGAGAGGACATTTGGGAGGACATTAATTCATAGGGTCACCATAAAGTTGGAAGCGACTGGGCAGCACTTAAACACACACTGGAAGTGAAGGCAGAGCAAAACAGCCTCGCAGAAGCAACTTTAGTTTCTAGAGTTGAAAGGCATCATGTAGTTCAATGTTTCCCAGTCTTTATACTTTAGGCCAGCGGTCCCCAAACATTTTGAGACCGTGAGCACCTTCCGAATTCTGACACAGAGTGATGGGTGCCACCACAAAATGGCTGCAGCAGGAGGAAGTCCCTCTGCGGGGGAGAAGAGGGGAAATTAAAAATTGCATTGGGAAAGAGGAGTTAGAGAGAATAAAACAAACATTGTGGTGGCAGCTGCTACTGAAATCATATACTTTAATTTGCATCGCAAATCAGATCTCCACTGGTGAATCCAAAGCCGCCTTGGGCAGGAGCCCTAACTGCCCCCACCCAATTTTCAAAAATACTTGGTGGGCGCCAGGAAAGGTTTTGGCAGGCACTGTGGTGCCCATGGGCCCTGCGCTGGGGACCACTGCTTTGGGCATTCTTTGCTTGGAGGCACACTGAAAAGTG